AATGGCTTCCAGAGCAGCTCCGCATGTCATCCAGCTACCCAGAGGGCCTCTGCCTGGAATATGCCACATCAGACAAAACGTAACCCACAAGGCGGTGTGGCCTTGTCCTCCTCACTTTCAACGTGTCCCGCCACTTCTGTGCCCTCTTGCTCACTCAGGCTGTTGCAGGCAGTGCCTGCAGTGTGCCACCATCAGCTCCGGGAAACTTGAAGTGTGTCAGAGGGGACCTGGAACCACCAGCTGAGTGGGAGGGATTGCCAACCCACTCTATCCCACTGACAGAACTTTAGCCTTATTGTGTTGGGACTCACAGCCCAGCTCCACTTGTCCAACCAAGAGGTGCAACTCAGTGGTGGCTGTCTGGGGCTCTTTGGCAGCAAGACCCCTTCCGACAGAGAGCAATCGTGCTACAGGAAGGAGGCCTAGACTTAAATTTCTCTCTCACTCCCTTAGTTGCATACATCCCCTGCAAAGGCTGGAATCCAGGGGAGCCTTATCTCCAATGAAAAGAGCGCACAATGCCTCAAGGACCTGTGGTTGCTGTTGGGAGGCCCATGCTAACATTTGGTGGCTTTGGAGAGGATCACCTGCAAGGGAGGTATCCAGACAGTGGGGTATCTCACTGCCAGAACTTAGTCCAGGAAGCAGAAGAGCAGCCTCATGAATTCTTGCTGACAGAGGATGGGGAGCAAGAACTTCCCTCTGTTCTGGGCTTGCTGAAGTTGTTTCACACCTCTGTTGGTTGACCAGCAGTGATTTACATATTCCAAGCTGGCTTCTGATTCCCAATGGGACTGGGTAATCCAGACTGGTTGTGCTGCCTGTGGAGCAGCAGGGTTATCCTCCGTTCCCTAATGACTGGCACTGGGCTGAGCTGCCCGAAGGTGGTCTGTCTGGCACTGGTATGGGCCAAACCAACTGCTAAGAAGGGAGTGTAGGATTGATTTTACTTTTGTTTCTAATAATTACTGTATTTAGTGTTTTGTAGGGTTGAAAGCCATATGTACACTGTTAGAATTGTGATGAAAGGCATTTTAATGAGCATTCGCCAGGGAGTTCATACTCTAGATTTATGACCTGCAATAGCAGAGGGGAGGATACTGGTTTCAGATCTGCAGATCTCTAAGCTCTCACTGTTTCTCAGGCACCTCTGTGGCTCAGGACAGAACATGCTCTGCGTTTATGCTCCCTCCTTTCTTCATAGAAATCTTGCAAGGACCACAGCTCAGAGAAAGCTTCAGGTTTCATGAGCTCTGAGGAGCGCCTCATCTAGGGAAGCAGAGAGAACAGGTGTTATCCCTGCTCCGTGACAAGACTGTATTCAGTTAGGCAAGGAGACTGATGTGTGCAGAAGTACCAAGAGGAAGGGCTCTGAGCCTGATGACAGCTGGCTCTGCAGAGTGGAAGAGAGGGTGCTGGCTGGTGCATTACACAGGATTTGCACCCAGAAGCTTTATTTTCTCTTTGGGGCAGACAGTTCCTGTGTTGCCATCAGATGGACATTGGCTTTCAGGGGCAACTGTTTCACCAGAGCTTCCCTGGAGGTGGCCTATGGACCCTTGATGGGAAAAGATTCCACACTGAACAGCAATGAATTGCTTCTGTGCTTTACAGTGTGTCTGCTTTCTGGGCTCAAAGCCCTTCGGGGTGTCCTGGTGCTCTCTCAGTCCCTCCTTCCCCAGAGGTGCCCTGCAGCCTGTCCTTGGCATAGGCAATGTCCCCTTCACAGGGAACCCCCTCCAGGTGTGTGTCTGTGAAGACACAAGTGAGGTAGAAGACAGGGTCAAGACATATGTAAGCAGCATCTACTGTGGAGACCCTGAGAGATGGAGTGAGGTGCTGTGGGGCTGAGTTTGGCTGTGCTGGGCTGTGCTGTGCTCTGGCACAGCCAAACCAGCAGGGCTGTTGGCCATTGCTTTGTCTGTGAGAAAATGGAGTGAGATGTTGCACATTGACTACTAGGGACCCACACAGTCCAGAGGGCTTTTACCCAGCCCCACAGCAGACTTTTTCACAACTTCCTGGGGGAATGTTATTGCTCTTGGGAAGGACAGTGCCTGTGCCTGCATCAATGCTACCATTTTCTCAGGATCTCACCAGGTTGGACACTCTCAGATGCTCTTCCTCCTCTTCAGCCAGCTCCAGAGGTCATGAGCATGACCCCTGGAAAACTGGCTGTGCCAGACTCCTACCAGTCTTGAACTCAGACTCATGTGGTTGCTCTGTGTTCAGTACCATGAAGGATGTCTGTAACGCTGTTTGCTAGTTGGTCTACCCCATGGTGGTCACCACCTGAGATATCTGTGACAACATCATAGCAGGATGTGCCCAGCTAGGCTAAGACTGTGTAAGGGACAGGCAGTTTGGATGAGAGCTGTAATTCATGTAATCCCAAGAGGAAGCTGTTGGCTCTACACCACAGTCTCTCCAGCCATGGCAGACTGTCCACACACACTGATATGTGTGTAGGAAGTATGCGTTAACATCCACACATTTTGGGAAAACTATCTACCAGCTGGGACAGCTTGGGACTCAATTTCCACTACACTGACTGTGCAGCATCCTGCTTTTGTCGTCCCAAGTACTGCTCAGCTCCTGCTACCAAGATGTGTGACTGTACCCTGCTGGCCATGGAAAGCTCATGCACTCCATCCATTGGGGACAGCTCTGTGTGTGGCAGGAGTGCAGCGCCAGGGATTTCAGGCAAGAGAGCGTTGCAGTTAGTCTGTGACTCGTAATGATGCTCATTGTCAGTCAATGTCAGTAGGGTTTATTTTTGTGTGTCTTATAATTAAGGGTTTCCTTACAGAGTTAGTATACATGCTGAAGAATTTGGATTTGTGCTAGGGATGTAAAATCCCACTTCTGAAGGAGCATTTTATCTATCCAAATTGAACTAGATATGAGACTGTCCCAGTCATGTGCATATGAGCAGCCCCAAGGAAATGGAAGAAAATGACTCTGTTTTTAATGAGCCAAGCATGAGAACTTATTTTGAACATCTGTAGGATATCAGAAGTCTGGGTCAGGATTCAAGTATCACAACAGGGCATGTTTTTCATAGTTCCCACCTGAACTGTATAGCAGAGCTTTAGATTTTGTCATTAAATTTGGGGTTCCCATCTGCTTCTCTAATATTTGGATCTCATTCCTCTTTTTTTTCCTGCTGATCTCTCAAGTTTTTCTTCTTGAGATAAGACTACAGGGCACATGTGCAGAGAAGGGAAATATAGCTAGGCTGTGTCTGGAGAGTCTGCCTTTGCATGCAAAACCCTGTTACATGATGTCCTTAAACTTATGCAGCAGACAGTCCTGCTCATGAACCCAGACAGCCAAGCAGCAGATCATGGGGTGCCACCTGGTGGGTCTGGTCCATGGGGCTTGGGGAGGGACACTGGTGGTGTAATTCTGCTGCATAAAGGCGAGTGGTTTGGCTTTTCCCTCTAAAGAAGTGAGGTGGGGAGGATGGTGCCAGCTCATGCGGATACAATGCAATTTCCCAGTCCTCACTCAGGCAATACAGACAACATCCAAGCAAGCCACTGCAGCCCAGCTTTGCTGAGAGATGCAGGCAGTCAGCCGCTGAATGAACCAACAAAGTGCTTCTCGCATGCAAGGGGACAAAAGCCAGCCACTGGTCAGCAACAGGCTCATTTATTATCTCACAAGAATGAGTGACTTATACAGCTGCAGTAACGTCAGCAGAACCAAAGCTTTGCCCAGGGCCTGAGCTCTGACTGTGGGGCTCCCTGCTGCGTTGGGTGGCAGTGGGAGGGTTTGTGATGGAGAGGGTGGATTTGGGAGATTCCTGAGCTGCAGGGAGTAAATTTGAGACTGTTCCCAGTGGCCTGTGTTCTCCTGATGCCATCATCACGCCAGGCTGATTTCTGTTCTCTCCTTCTACACAAGTTGCCCTTAATATAGGGGAGGGCAAATGCAGTCCTCAAAATGTACTGTTGGGTACATAGAGGACATGTACCCAAGAATGAACAGCCTCTTCCAGGAGCGAAGTTTGGAGGCAGCGAGGGAGCCAGACCCTATTTTCACTGTGCCTGACCAGGAGCAAGGTGACCAACAGGCAGGAGTGCCCCAGATGTGCTGAGCATGCGGAGGTGCAGGGAGTGATGAAGGTGGAGACAGCTCGTGTTCCCTTGAGTGCCTTGGTCAGGTGCTGCCGAGTGACCTCAGGGAAAGCACATAGCTTCCTCCCAGGGAGATGTTTGGATTTGGCTGCCTTGGAGTTCAGAGGCCCCTTGTTAGACACTGTGGGTCAGATGGAAAAAGAGGCTGAGCATCCTCAGCTCCTGATATCAGCTGAAGTGGGGGTCCTGCCCAACCCATGAGGCTCCTAGTGGATCAAGTGGATCCTCACAAAATGGAGGCGGTCCAAATCTCAGGTGCATGCATGGATATGCTGCATTTAGCCTATTCTGCTCTTCCAGTTGATGGCATGGGACAGACACAAGCCCGTTTCTAGGGGTGTATGGGACCTGCGGAGGACACTGGAGGGCAGGGCCTGAGGTCCCTATGGGTGGCCACTTCATTGCAGTCATCCATTTCCATATGTTTCTGCCACACAGCAATGGCTTTTGCTTGGTAAGATGTCTCTGCCTTGAGAAGGCATGCTTGGCTTTGCTGCAGGCTCCTCCTGGCTTGTGACACTGCAGGATGACAAGGAGGAGAGTCTCTCTGACCCATCTGTTGAGCTGGTGGGGCTCTCTCCCAGGCACTCCCTAGCAGGAGAAAAACTCGCGCAGGGAGTTTATCTCCTCCCATGGCCAGCCCTGAGTATCTGGAGCTCAGTTAGAGCCCTTCCAGGCGAGCGGCAGCTGGCAGAGCGGTGCCTGTTGCCCAGGCAGATATGACGAGGGGTGAGGGTAGACGGGTTGTACTGGTGCTTTACATGGAGCAGCCTGCTGTTACCTTGCTGGACACGCGGTGCTGGGGCTGGCCCTCAGTGTGTGGTGTGGGGCTGTTTGGCACAGCTACTCGGAGGAGGTTTATAAGTGAGACATGTAGGGTGACGTGGGCGTGGAGGGGAAAAAGGTTATCCGGAGGCTGGTGCTAGCTGGGTCTTGGCTCTCTGAAGTGATCAGCACCTCATTGTCATTGAGGCAGGGACAATGCTCAGAGAAGCCCCTCTCCTTTCCCCTGGTGCCCACCCTTTGCTGGCAGGGGACGAGCGTCATGGAGGGGAAGCTGTAGCTGTCAAGGATAGGGTGCACTCCCAGGGAATCAGGTGTCTCGAATATGTGGTCGATGTCAGAGAAGCTCACCAGAGCCTGAGTGGAGTCATAGGAACTTTTCTCCACGTCATCAACCCCACAGGACTGGGGGTAGCTCCCCTTGTCTTGGCCTTTCTGCCTCAGCAGGCGGAGGTCATCTCTGAAGTGGCGGTTAAAGAGCAGGTAGAGCAAGGGGTTCAGGCATGCGGGCAGGGGCAGAACCACAAGGAGGACAGATTTGATGACCTCTGGGGTGATGACGAAGAGGTTGAGTGTGGATGAGAAGATGAGGAAGGCCACTGGGCAGTAGAGGAGGCAGTTGGTGAAGATCAGCCAGGCCACATGCTTGACCATGGCACAGTCCCAGACAGCGCTGAACTCCCCCTTCAGCAGGTTGCAGTAGAGTCGGATGTAGGTTCCTGTGATAGTCAGGAAGCAGAGCATGTTTGTCATCACCAAGGCTACGACGAAACCCAGGGTGGTGGGTTTCCCGTCTGGGATGGGATACGGAAGGCAGAGAGGGGATGCTCCATATTCCCCAATGGAGAAGAGAGGCAGAACGGCAGCCACAGAGGACAGCAACAGGCAGCAAAAGGCAGCAGCCTTGACCTTTCCTAAGGAGGGTGACTTTCCATAGCCCCGCACACAGGAAACTGAAATGCTGCACTGCACGGCAGCCAATGTTAGCAGGAAGATGGCAGCCTCGGAGGCAAACACTGCCAGGAATCCCGTCACCCTGCAGCCTGCACCAGTCTCCCACCTGGCGCCATATTTGGCAAACTGGCCGTAGGTCAGGGCGTCTACAACAGCTAACATACTGCAGTAAATGCTGGTCAGCATGTTGGCTCCAGCTATGGAGCCGATGATGAACTTAACTGGAGAGAGGTAGCTGGGAGAGGCAAAGACAGCCAGAATGACCAGCCCGTTGCAGAGCACCGAGACCAGAATGATGACCCAGACTCCCAAACGGATGATCCAGCTCTCAAACAAGTGATCACAAGGCTTGAAGGGACCTGTAAGAAAAAAAAATCCCAAAGTTATACCCAGAATGTACCATTCGCTCGAACAGTGGCCAGGTCCCTGATGTCTCCTGGCCCCACTGGCCCCTTGAATGCTGACGACTGGAAAGGAGCATACAGCATTGTCTGAGAGAGGTCATATGCAAAATGTGAGAAACAGCACACTCATCAGAGTTCCTAAAATGTAAAAATGTCGGGGTCTGGCATTGCTACTCCATGACTGTATGCATGGCAAAGCCTTTTTGCTCTCGTGGCCCACCTGCCCTATGCTGCTCAATCAGGCAGAGTCTGAGCTCCAAGTAGGCCTTTGTCCAGAGGAACTCACCATCATAGCACCCCACATTTCTATGGGACTCCAGACCCACCAATACTCCTGGTGTCAACCTGGCATTTGGGCCACTCTGCCATTATCTGCTCCTTCTCATATACCCCTGGGATCTTGGAGTTAATGGTGTAGGGATGTGCAAGAGACAGCAGCATGCTGCCTCCTGCTCTGACATTGCCAACCTCTGCCTTCATACTCAAGACCTTGGCTAAGTGATGTCTTACTGTTTCTGCATAAATGACCCCTGCATGGAGGGAATGGCCAAAATGAGCGCAAGTGTTTGTTAGAGCAGGAGGGAGGGACAGCAGGTGGGAGGAAGAGAGAGAGGGAGCTGGGGTGGCAGTGATAGGACAGAGGGGCCTGGGCAAGGGGAACGTGGGAGGATGTCAGGAGAAAGAATGGTGGAGGATGGACATAAAGAGAAGTGAGCAAGGGAAGGCCATGGAAAGGTAGAAAGGGGACTGGTGGATGCTATTTATCAAAGGAAAAAGCAAAGAGCGGAGAGAGACTGTGCAATGAGACAGAATTACCTCTGGGAGGGATTCGGATGTTACAGTGAGGGGGTCAGGGTGGGAGCTCAGCAAAACCAAAAACAGCTTGGGCCAAGTTTTAGGCAGTAGAGAGCAAAAGAAATTAGACGAAACAGAGAAATCTTGTTCAGTTCAAAGGGGTTGGAGGTCTTTGACTGGCTTTCCTCAGAGGGCCAGCACCTTGGCACCCAAGCAGCAGGGCATGCCCCCTGACAAAATCTTGTTCCTTCTTCTCTCTCTGCAAACAGCAAGCTCAGTGGGACAACTGGTGAAAACTCCATCCCTGCCAGTGTCGCACAGGTGCCTAGATGGAGCCAGGCCTCTCCAGCCTCCAGCTGTGCTTGTGTAGGACACCATTGAGCTGTGAACAGAGACAAAATCAGGAGGCAGTTTCCTCGTGTCCCAGCCAGGCTGTGCCCTCTGGCATGCTGTTGATGGAAGAAAGGAGAAAGTGGCTGGGTGCAATCCAGCTCTTCCCTTCTCTCCCTTTCTCAAGAAACAGATTACCCCTGCAGTCTGCAGTGCTGCAAGTATGATCAGGAGATCAAGGGCAAGGTCTTGCCATGCAATATTCTGGGCTGGCTGGGACAAAGCAAAGTCTAAGTCTTGCAAGGGAACAGGAACTTCTGGAGAGCCAGAGTCTATGTGCAGACAGGTCAGTGGATGGAGGATCTGGTGATACCTGCGATTCCTGATCAGGGATACCATGACCTTGTCCTCTCCTCGCAAGAGGGCAGCTACATCTGAGTGGGAGAAAGAAGCTCCTCACTGTTCCCAGTTTGGCAAAAGCCCAACCATTTAGGCTTCTGATTTGCATGTCTGTGAGACACTGCAGGAAGGTTTGTGGGATCCTGGGGATTTAGAGAAGCTTAAAGGATTCCAACTGTATTCAGAGCAAAAGGCTTCCCTGGCTGCTCACCGGGGCTTGGTGTGCACTGAATAGTGAGGTGCAGCTTTGATTCCTCAAGGTCCAGCTGGAGGTCGTCTCCATCTAGGTCATCTGGGGAGAAAAATAACAGAGAAATGGTGCTCAAAGAAGGAGGAGGGTCATCAGGGCTAGCTGGCCTGAAGCTTTTCTCATTGTCTGTCCTCAACACAGACCTTCCCATCAAGTTCCCAGCCCACAAGTTCAAAGTAGCTGCTGGTGTCCAGTTTGTTCTCTGCAGTCACTGCTGTAGAGGGAGAAGGTCTTGTAAATGTTGGTGAGTTGCAATGTGGCCAACCCCTTTGTTTTCAGGTTTCTCCCAACATTTGAAGTGTAAGTGCCACAGATCCCGGAGTCGTGTGACTGCAGATCCCTCCTCCTAGCATGCTTTATTAAAAATAAAGAAATACTCCAGCCTATGTGGTTACAGAAAACAAAGCCTTCAAATGCATCTTCTAAATAGAAGCTTTCTGGACAGGCCTCGTCCAATGCCAATTCATCAACAAGGACTTGGGAGCTTTGTTCAAAGAGCCATTAGCCTCTACTTGCAGCACAAATTCTTCGTCAGCAACAACCACCAAACGGTTCAGAAGCAAAAACATAAGAGAACCCAATGTTTATTGCTTTATTTTATGTCCTATGATTTCTTGGAACTGCGATGCCTTGGTTTTACCCCTGGAGGTTCTCAGTCCTGGATTTGCTTAAAGGCAGACTGATAGCCCATGCCTGCAGACTTTGGATCTGTGGGATCTTTGGATCTGTGCCCTCAGAGCCCACCCTGCTGGGCCAGCATCTCCATCATGCTGGCAGCTGCACCGTGTGCCAGGCTTGGGCTCTCTGAGGGTCAGAGAGAGACTTTCTGCCTGAAGGAGAAGCTGCTGGAAGAGAATGGGGCTGAGACCTCAGCTGTGCTTTCCATGGCCTGTAGATGTATGTCATCACTAAGGAGAATGGTGTCCTCTTTTTCTAATCCAAGACATGCTTTTCTGCTTTGTTCTTTGTTTCTCTTCTCAAACAATCACTGATTCACAGTGCTGGGACACAGTGAGGACAGCTGCTGTCCTGCTGCACCATTACCACCCATGGCACCAGCCTGGCCTTCTGTTCCCAGTGGAGATCTCTGGAGGGTTTTATGCAGGCAGGAGGAAGGGGAAAGGATGTTTTGTGCTTGCCACAGCCCGATAGGGAGGGAGCTGTATCTGTGGCTGTGGGATGAACTCTCCCTTGGGTGATATGAATGGATGCTGGTGCCCAGGTGTGCACCTGGCAGCTGAGACACTGGCCAGGAAGATGAGTTTCCACAGTGCTGAAGATACAGATAAGTGAGATTTAGTTGCCTAATCTGTTTAGAAATGGTGCCTCTCATGAGGTCTACTCCCTGTCTGTGTTTGAAAATATGACTGGGATTATTCGATTAAAGAATGATGACAAATAGCGTGCTATCTTTAGAGCCTCCTGACAAGCATTGTGACATTCTCAGCTTCAATGAGCTTTGGAAAAAAATGACATTTTTAAAATCTATCTGTATAAGAGTTGAAATATTACAGCTGCTTTGGAGTCTGGCAAGACTTGTGTTTTATAGTCTTATAGTCCTCCTTGTGTTTTATAGTCTTATAAATCTCCAGTGTCTTTTCCATCCACAGTGCGGAGGCTGTGATGTGCAGTCATGATACTCAAATCAGTGCAGACTTGCCTTTCTGTGCCCCTCTGCCACCCAACCCATTGTAATGTTAAAGTGCAACCTGCCCCATCCCTTTTCTCTTCAAAGGGCCAGCATGCCAAAAGGCTGTTCTAAGCACAGCTTAAACATTTGCATGAAGTGAGGTAGTGATCTTTTGTTTTGCCTGAAGTACTGAGCTAGCTGTGAATTGCAAGGCACTCTTCGGCCAGCACAGCACGATTCAAAGTAGAAAATGTACCTCTCTGCTAGAAATCAGTACTTCTCCCAGCCTGGGAACTGTAGAGAAAAGAAAATGGCTGTTGTGTTCTAGCAAGGCAGACTACATTGCTTTTGAAGTAGCCCTTATTTATCTGAATTTTGCTAAGGCAACTCCACTTTCTAAGGCCTTATGGAAAAAAACCCACTTTGCTAGTAGTGCCCTTTCTGTGGAAAATGGTTTCCAGCCGGCTGTACCAACATCAAAGCAGGAGGAAGAGGAGAGTTGCTGGAGAAGGGGTAGAACAAGAAGCACTGGGCTGAATGCTTCTTCCCCTTTTGTATCGTCTGCCTTAGCCAGGGCAGTCCCCACGTGGGGTTTGCAGATAATTGCTCTCTCCCTCAGGGTTAGGACACGGGTGGCTGCAAGGGGCCTGGGCAGGTGCTTTTTGGGGTACCTTCTTGAATGACAGAAGCAGGAAAAGTGTAGCTCTAAGGACCAGACAGGATTTGCTGGGTGGTTGCAAAAGTTAATTAATCACCATTACAAGCTAATGGAGGTGCTGGACTGGATAAAGCAGGGTCCTATTGTCAACCATGCAAATGTGATAACCATATGATAACCACACAAGTGTGTTCTCACTTTCTGTAGCTTTGTTCATTATTGCAAACATATGATGTAAGAAAACACCCCCCCTTTCTATCCTCAAACCAGTAGTCTCAAAGTGGGGGTGCTGGGTCTGCGACAGAAGTGTCCCATTGCAATGGTAATACTTGCACTTTGCCTGTCTTCTCCCTGCAGTCAGTTTTGGGAGTGTGGCAGGAGCGAGCTGCTGGGGAGTGTTGGGTGGATGTCCTGTGTGACAAGCCCTCGAATCACCTTTGGGCTGCTGTCCAGCCACACGGGACAGGCTTGGGGCACGAGGTATCTGCTAAATGCCTACAATTATAATCCAAAGAGGCATATCCCAAGCACCATAATTTTGGATAGCACGACCTTAAAGATCTGTCATGACAAGATGACAGAGTGATCCGGCATGCACTAACTGCACTCCTTTGGGCCTCGATTGGCCATTACTCAGATGTGAATGGACACACTTAGGTGGTGTCCAGGGGGTTC